TTTTTTTTTTTGGCCAAAGTCCATTAGGAAAAAAATGAAGTTTTTAGAGTGTGTTACATTGATCACATCTGTGATGAGGAGCGTGCAACACTGTCTTCTCTCCTGTTCTTGTTGCTATAAATCAAAAGGACTCGTAAGCTAGGGAACAAAAGCCAGGAAACCAAGACTGACACTTAGCCATGCTCCTGTGAGCTTTCTTGTCATGCCAGACCTCCTTGTGTGCCTCTAAGAGGACAGAGCCACACAGCATCACAGCTGCCACCGCGTGCACACTAATATTGTTAGTCCAGTTAGTTTTCCCACTCACTGTAGTGGCTTCACTCTCCTCTTGTGGGTAAATGATTTATACTTTTATTAAGACTATGAAGGGAAGACTACAGTTTACCGGTATTTACTTGAAATCAGTTCTTGTATTATACTTGTACAAAGCATATGAGTTTTTGTAGACAAAGAGAAGACGCAGAGAAAGGGTTTTCAAAGAAACCTCTTATACTATCCTCCAAATTCCATGCCCAATGCAACTGTCAAGATGTGTACTCATTTCCTAATGCCAGAAGTTTGGCGGACTCTACTTATTTGAGGAGAACACTGTAGAAGTGCTGCTGTGAGTTATCTTATAGATCACAATCAGGCTTAGCAATTTCTGTCTTTTACCTCTTGTGGCCCTTAGTCATCATGAAAGAGTACCAACCTAATGAAGTGGAGAGAGAGCCAGGGAGAGGAGCTCTGTAGAAGCAGGCTTGTCAGGGAAGAAGCCACAGGGGAAGAAGCATTTTGTGAACTCCTAGATCATCCCAGCCTCCAGCACTTTTTTTGTATCGACACCATGGCAGGATCGTAAGTGAGAATAGTAAGTTAAGTAAATTCAGTCAATCAAACAGCTCAATTCTGAAGTGGTGTGTGATTCTCCCAAAGACAATTTTAATAATTGAGAAATAGAATTCAAAGAACACATTGGATCACTGATGCCCAGAGAGAGTGTCATACATAATATTAAAAAATAGAGTTCAAGAAACCCCATTTTAAAACCACTGCAATGTGGAGAGGGAAGTGAGCTGGGAAAACAAAATGCCAACCTCTCATTCTCCTGCACTTCTCCTTCGTTTCCATTCCCTACCTTCTTTTATTGTTTTCTTCTCCTGTTCTGTTAATTTAGTGGGCAAGTCAAATGTTTGGGTGTAGGCATCAGCTAATGATCTTTTTCATAGGAAACAAGCCATTTGAAAATGAGAGTTATCTATTTAAAAAATTATTGAACTCTGACCATGGAAATTTTAGGTTCTATGAAAACAAGAATAGATAGAATAGTCATTGTAGTGTGGAGTATATGACAGAGTCAGTTTCATATTTTGTGGTTTGAGTCATGATTGAGGGGGAAAAGGGGACATTAGAAACCACAAAAAAGCAATCAATGTTCAGGGAAAAAAAGAAAAAGGGTAAGGTGAAGGAAGGCCGAAAGAAGGAAGCAGGCCTATGAATGAGTCCTAGAAGTTGAGTAAGAGCATGTGATAGCAACATTCTGAGACAGGCTGCCAATTTACTTGAGCAAATGTGTTAGCCTGAAAATTGGTGTATGAAGACTATAAGGATATTAAAATACATTTGCATGTCTATTAATGTAATTGAATATATGCCGGCAAATATCATATGTGCTTATGTTTATTCTACATTCACCTATGGATGTTTAGCTATAAGAATCAGAGATGAGAGATAATTATGAGTTTCTTATCTATATTCCTTGGTTTACTATTGCCCAGTGACATTTTTCACATTGAGTTATTAGTTTAGAGCCTGTGACCAACTGAACTGCCTGGCATGGCCTCTTATGTTAACTAAAGGTCACTGTAGCAGAAATGGCAAAGTTTGTGAAGAACCAGCTGTGGTGAAGAACAGATCATAGGCAGTGACATCTGGAATAAACCAGAATTAAAGAGGATCAGACTGATAATGTTTAAAGACAATCATGCAGGACAATAACTGAGAGAAATGTCTTTTGATATGGGAACAATTTTGACTAGGAAAGACTGAGCTGAGTCTGTAGCCATACCACCCTGAACATGCCTGATCTCATCTGATCTGGAAGACTGAGCTGAAGTGCTTTTTGTCAGGTAGAACAGCTAAAGTGATAAGGAGTACATATGTAGTTCTTTACAAATATAGCAGTCAGGTTTGGTTCAATTGATGTCCAGTCTGTGGTCTACTGAGAATAGAATGTCTGACAAGGCAAGTTGGTGGCCAGCCATTTTATAACTTAACAATATCCAATGGTGTGTTCAGTTTTGACCTTGAGAAACAACACTGAAGATTTTAAGTGAATGAAATCAGGCATCTGTTTGAGAATGGCAACTTCAACTGCAAAGTTAGCAACTTTGAATAAAAGAGAAATTAGAGATATGAAGATTAATTAGAAAGATTTTATCTTCTGGAAATACATGCAAGTGAGAAAGATACAAAGTAGAAAACAGAAGTGCAAATTAAGCATTGTGATCAATTTTATTAAGAGACAAAAGCTAGCCAATTCTGAGCTTCTAAAATAAATTTAACTCAAGTCAAATGAACAAAAGTGGGAAATACAGAGGTCCAGTAGAGTTGGCCAAGAAATCAAGAGTTTGTTAACAATGAAATAGTTTTCTGCATAGATTTAATAATAATGGAAGATCTACATTTTGAGAGTTTATCCGGTGTTAAGTGATTTTTAGCACAGTAATAAAGAATATAGGGATTATATATTCTGTAAATTTTCTTTTTTTCCTGTAAATTTCTTGTAGAATTCAGCTGAGAATCCATCAGGACTAGAACTTTTTTTTGTCAGTAGGTATTTTATTACATTTTTTATTTCATTGGCTGTTATTGGGAGTTTAACATATCAATACTTGATTGAAAATACCTGTTCTATGTTATGTCTATGTTTGAGAGAGAGTGAAGTTCAACTCAACTGCCTATGTTATAGGGCAAAAAATATCATTAAATTTCTTTTCTGGAGTGTTAACAACTTAAGTTTGCAGACCAAAAATTAGAGAAAAAGGACTGCAAGAACAGCCAACATTTTGGCTCTAGCCTTTCAAGGTCATTGAGGACTCAGGACATAAGAGAACCTATACTGTAATGTCCTGTAACTTAGTTGGGTCCCAAATTTTCTGGTCAAGGAGACAATGGAGCCACAGAGGAAAGTGATCGATGATGTATAGTGTGCCTGGGGAGAGTCACATGGAGAGAAAAAACATTTTCTCAGGCTTTCACACAGAGCAAATTGCTCAAGCAATGGCCATGACTCATCCACATGGCTGACACTGACAAAAGATCTACAAACTGCGGTACAGGGTTTCAGGCTAAATTCTGAGGGGACTTGACTGACCTTGTCTTATACAAAAGTTACATCTCTTGTTATATAGGTCTTGCTTTATCTTGGTCTTAATTATCCAGCAGAAAAGTTTACAAACATAGTATGAAAAGTAAAGCGATATTAATATACAGAGCTGTAAAAGGCTCTAGTCAACAACTTCTGACATTACCAGTCTTACAGAAAACCCACTACTATTGTGGACTACTGGACTATATTGGAATATTTTGCTGAATTCACCCAGCTACAATATTTAAATGACAATAGAATACCCTTCTCTGACAAAACTAAACAAAAAAGGGGATACAAATGAATGACCATTTTGTATCTGTATATTCAAAATAATTAGAATAGATATATAGCTACTTTCTCTTAATTCAATGGATAGAAAGATTTGTTCTAATAGAGTTTGTCTACAGGATATGATGTCTGCATCTTGTACTATGAATAACTACTACAAAGAAAACAATATGCAATGTATTAATTATTGAAACTGTCCTACTAATCAGTTTTGAAACTCTCATTGCTATGTCTTTCTCAATAAAATTATTACAAAAGAAAAAAAATTGAAAAGAAAAGAGCGAAAAAAAGATAGAGAAATGAACAATTAAATTGCAAAAGTAAGTAAGATAT